GTTGCTGTGTCTGTTTCTAGGATGCTGGTAATAATTTTAATCTGTCAAATCATTCAGTTTTTCTTCACCCCTCTCCATCTCTCCACATTCAGTCAGCTGCTAGTGCTATGCAAAACACCATCATGAATATGCGTAATTATGGAGATTCATGGTAATTTTTCAGGGTTATCCGATGTGACGTTTATAGGACAGCAGCATACATCAATTTAAATGAGAGTGACAAATATCTTATCCTTTTTATTTCTATAGTATTTTTAATATTTCCTTGATCTCTCTTGGGAGCAGTGAGAACTAGTAGGAATTTGAATAATAAATTTAAAAAAAAAAATCAAATACAAAGCATACTACTTTTTAAAGCTCCATTTTTTTATAGGGTCTTTTATATATATTTCACAACCTGTCATACACAAGGAGGAAGGATGATTTACTTACTTTAAAAAATTAAAGCTCTACTTTCGTAGGTATTTTACATTATGTTACCTAAGGCTACAAAGCTACAGTAGTAACATTTTCAACATATGTTTGGTTTTCTAAAATGAATCTGATCTGTCTAATTGCTCTAATATTCTGAGTGCCCACCTGACAGAATGATTTAGCAAGCATCACCTACCATTGTATTTTAAGAATAGCTTTTTGGAACAATAACATTCAATTATCTACTGGCAACTGTGGCATACTGGAATTTTGTTCTATATCTATTGAACCTCCTAGAGTTTTGTATATGATTTTTAATTCAGAGATTAATTAGGACCTAGTCTAACAGTTTCATGCTTACATTGATTACCAATTATGATTAATCTTTGCTCTTCTATAGATTTGTTGTGAATAACTTATAGGGCCAGATCCTCAGCTGGTATAAATCATCACAGCTTCATTGACTTCATTTAATATCAGTGAAATTATTCACAGGGTAAGGTACAGTGCAATGCATTGGTGGCTGAATCAGGCCTCAAAGTACTAATAGATAATACTACACATTAATATGCTACAGTAGCATTGAGGAGCTTAGCTTTTTATAAAACACAGAATCATAGAAATGTTAGAATCATAGAAATGTATACTTGTCTATTACACTGCTAATACTGTATCATTGTATATTGCTTTAAAATTAATTATTTTGCAAAAAGTACATGATCTTTAGACAAGCACACACCTTAATAAAATGTTCACACTTAAAAACATGCAAATCAATACTGTATAAGGTCTTTAGTCCAGAAAAAGATGATTCAATGCTATATCTTTACATTGAAAAAACTAGCATTTTGAAAGCCAATAGAAAGGATTAAACAATAGCTCTAATCTGTAATTTTGCATGTTTTGAATAAAGCTTATTAATTTTTCATTAAATGAAAGTGTGCAGTTCATTACATAATAAGCATAATACGCCACTGCAGTTACACTTAAACAGAAAGATTTTCCATCCTTTTTCTTATTCTTTATGTCCTTTGGATTTAAGATACAGCATTTCCAAAAGGTATATAAACTAAATCTTGCTCTCACATGAACCCATCTAAGTTAATGTGGTGGACGTGTGGCTCCCTGAAAGTTCTTCTTGGATTCTGTCATCACTGTATTAAATTACAATTTTAAAAGTAGAAATTGGACAGAAGGTAATGAAATATTTGAATATGAGAAAAACCTCAATGGTATATAAAGTAGGCATTATCAAGTGTAATATTTTATATACATTTGTTTTATATGTGATATCTAGATATAGATATCACTATATAAATTGAATGTCACACATTACTGAATGACCCTAAACCTGTGCTATTACTTAAGAAAGGAATATATAGAGTAATGTACATGTCTCAAAGTGTTATATCTATACAAAATAATAAATCTCACTAAAGCTATATTTTTACATAGTAAAATAATTCACAGTCTGTCATACTATCCATCAAATTAAAACATTGGTGCATCTGTCCTAACAATTTGTTTTCACAAATTATAAATATCAAAATGTGTAAATATGTCCCAGGTTTCCCAGTTTACTTTGAACATATATTTAAAATAAAACAGTTGTGCCTGGACTGGCTGACATTTACACTGTTCAGTTCTATGTTAGGAAGGGGTTCAAACCTGGGAGGTGCTGAGTGTTTTCAACCCATGTTGGTTTTACATTGAGGTGCTCAGTGCCTTCCAGGAACAGCTCAAAAACACACATATTCTGGGGAAGATTATCAGCTGCTGTAAATTGTCAGAACTCCACTGAAATCAATGGAGCTATTACAATTTACACCAGTTGAGGATCTGCCCCTGTATGTTTTCAATGTATATTGGAACGTTACTGCATATCAAGACTTGTGGAATCATCCATTTAAATTGGGCCTATTTTAAGCCTTTATTTTCAGTTCTCAGACTGGCCTATGTTTTAAATATTATTCAGTAAACACTCAAAATTGACAAATGTTTCCACTGGCTATACTTACAAAGTCACTGGTCCACCAGGATGCCGAGCATCTCACACAAGGTGCTGAGTACCCTGTTTCAAAGTCACTGGGAATGATATTTGGAGCATAGCATCCTGAGCAATTGTGTCCAAATATTTTAATATATTTCTTCAGACTAGTGACATGTCAAATCATTTTAGATTTGTTCATTAAAACTAAAGGCTTGGTTTATTTAACAGTTTATTCAAATATAGGGCTATGAGTTTTTATCACTACCAATGATTAAGACTAGAACGCTAAACATTACTGAAATATTTTATGCACCTATTAAGTGATGAAAATGAACTAGTGATATGGTATAACATCAGTACATATGGCTCTTATGTAGTAATCATTCACATTTTACATATTGTGTATAAAATTGCTAATTGATGTATACAGTATGAAGAAAAATTAATCTACAGAAAGACATGGGGCAGGTGTAAAATTAAACCTATCCATATATTTATTTATAGCTTTTGTTCCAAAAATTGTTTTAATTTGGTTTTAAAACCAACTGTCTATTTTTTATTTATCGAAAATAAACTTCCAGAATTAAATGGACACATTTTATCAATGCCACATAGCGCATGTGATAGATATTATTCTTTGGACTTGCTAAGGAGCAAAATACAATAATTTTGTGGAGAACATATGTCTGGTAATCATATAAGATAAATTCATATGAAATATAGGAAATATATTTATTTACTGTTACTGCTAAGCCAGCCTTTATTTATCTTAGAAGATTTTTCATCTATGAGTAGAAAACAAACTTTCCTTCAAGAGGTCTGTGAACCGAATAATAAATGTCAGGTCTAAATCCTGTATGAAAATCAGTTCAGTTTAATCCTGGATATTCTTCAGCATGCAAATGAATGCTAGAGGTTTCCCTTGGCCCGCTGTCATATAGGCAGCCAATTTACAGACACTGGCACACTGTATGTGTTATGGGTTCTCCTTCTGCCCCTCCCCCTCCATCCTAAGACTTGGTCTCAGCTGCCTGCCTTTCACAGAAAACCACAAACCAAGGAAACATATCAGTAATAGCGCCCTGTAAATTAACTTGACATTTGATGCAGAAAAAACCCTAAAAGCTTACAAAAGACATTGAAAACAAAAGCCACTCAGGACACACACTACATATATTGTGGATTTAAGAGATCTGGAAGGTGGTTATTCTATTGTAACCAATACATACAGCCTTCATCTTCTTTGTTAAGACAATTCAGTCATTCTTTGTTAAAGCCACAGTATTCATCAAACAAACAAAAACTTCCTATATTTCTACAAAACATCCCCCATAAATCCAAAAAATATAAAAAATATGGCAGTGAAGGGTTTTCTTTTACATTAAAACTATGCATTACATTTGTATTATTAAAAGGGAAGTTAGAACTATCAATATTCATTTACCTAGTAAAAAAGACAGGCTAACAATGCTAAAATATAAATAATATAATGCTAGTGTGCTATGATTGGCATATACTGTGTTAAATGTGTGATACACAAACATTGTCTTAAAAATATGGTTACTCTAAAAATTTCATTCCCCCCACCCATTCAAGCTACAAATCTTTTTTTGTAAAAAGTATTTGGTTCAGAGATGAACTATTGATGAAATATTAACTGATCCTTTGATATTACTCGTAATGTGTGGATATAGTGAGGCATAGCATGTTTAAGCTATTAGACATGCAGGAATGTTATTATGCTTTATTGTGTCTGCCTGTCCCCACCCCTCTCTCTCTCTCTCTCTCTCTCTCTCTGCAGAGCTGGCAATACTGCATCTTACAAATGTCTGGCCTTATGGTTTACAAGCATAGAAACTGTACTGGTAAAATGCATAATCTTAGCATCTCTGCTTCTTGATATTCATGGATTTATTTACAAGTCCCTGTGTTCTACTTTTTGACTGTTTCTATGGTTTATATTACTGTCATGCCTATATTCTTGTGGGAATTTCAAATAAGAATCAAGATATAACTGGCAAATATTCTGTAATGTAGTCTGCATTTCCATAATTTAGACGTTTTTTAAAAGAAACAATTTTAAGAGGTGTGTGGACTTATGGATAAATGAAGAATATTTTGATTGGCTTTTTAGTCTTCAACTACTTAAGGTTCAGTTTGTGTAAAATGGCTGTAATAAAGTGAATTTATGTACATATATATGCTTGTGTATATGTAAATGCATTTGGAAAGAAAAAGTTCATAAATCCCTGTCAATTTTGCTGATTAAGCTCAGTACTCTCACACTGACAACATTAAGATATTTCACAAAAGAGTTAACAAGCTGAAGAAAGGGTTATTCATTTTAGTTTTTCATGTGGTATCAACTAAAGAAAGGTTTTAAACAGTTCAAAAGAAACCATTCATATTCAGCTAAATTTAAATGTAAGAAAGCCTTTCAATAGTACATTTTACAAGTACCACGTGGATATTTTTGAAGGAACTTCCTTGTTTTATCATAAGGGAGTGATACATTTTATCAATGATCTATTTTCTAAATATTTATAGAATATGGGCCTGATCCTGCAAATGCTTACATATGAGTAACTTTACTCACGTGACTAGTCCCAGTTGATCTCAAGTGAATTATTCAAGTAAAGTTTCTCCCACATTTGTTTGTGGAATGAGGCCCTAAAATCAAAAAACTGATATTAATATAGATTCCACATATATTGTTCTTTTTCCAGAGATTCACACTTAAAAGTTAATTAACTGTTTTCTAGGGATAGATATTAGTTTAACCAGATTACAGTAATATAAAAAATAGTAGAAGGTATACTTAGCATGTACCAGTACATACATTATTTTTGTATTCCTTTTGATTCTAAGTTGTATCTATTCACAAATTCATTATATATAAAATACTCAAGCTACGAGGATGGGCAATTAAAACACATGCTATTCAGTATATATTATTAAATGAAATTCACATCCTTTTTTTTTAAAAAAAAAGTTAATTCACAGACAGGAGCTAAACCATTCAATTTAACCTGACTGTCTAGTGGTTTTGTTTGTTTGTTTGTTTTGTAAAGTATCTTTGCAAGGCACTGTCATCAGTAGTAAAGTAATTTACAGCGGAGAATATTTTTAGAAGATGTTCATTTAAGAGTCCATAAAAAGGTCATGCAGTAAGATATACATGTATTTGTAATTCATATTGTTCTGTGTTTCTATTGTACTCTAAGCTTCCATCATGGCTGAGAGATGGGAAGCTGGCATGCAAGCAGTGCAGCAGGGCAAAAAAAAAAAAAAAAAAGGAAAAGCTCTTTGAAAACACAAGTAGCAGGGCTTTTTTTCCCAGCTGCTAATTATAACCAGGCTTCTTTTTTTTAAAAAAAAATAAATATTTGTGGCAGTGAAGGTATATATGGACATTCTTCAATAAGCAATCCATTAAATATTGTTAATAATACTTTTGGCCCAAAAGGAAGACGTTTTCATTCTGGCCTTTCCAGAACCTCAGTCTACCCATTCAAAGAGATGACAGAAAAATGAGCCTGAATGTGCAGGCATTAAACATTTAAATTTTCTACTCCTTGGTCATTACATTGACTGCCATATTTTACATCTTCCCCTCCCCCACTATACTTTTGCTGATTTTACTTAATTTGCATGGACTCATTACGAATATAGCCTTTGTTCTACTGATATGGAATACAGTACAGTGACAAAGCAAAACCTACAAGCAGAGAGAGATTTGTTCACCTACTGATATTAGCATTTCATTTATCAACATGATTCATTAGTTAAACCAGAGGCATTCTTTCTGCTTGTAAAATAATAATAGATTTACAATTATTTCTAAAAGTGAATGCTATTGTTTAAAGCCCCTCCAAAAATCTTCCTATTCCAGTTAGTTTAAACATAATTAGTGATAGGTAAGCAGTAATATTGCATTTATGACAAGTGGGCGTGTCTACTGTTCATCTATCTGTATGGATTTAGATAAAGTGGCCTTATAAAATGTATTTCATATTCTGTATATACAATTCACTGTGGACAGCTAACCTTTAAGTTTAAGGGTTGTCTCTTTCCCATTATCTTAAAATAAAGGGATTTGACTCTGTAAGTGTACTGTAAATTTCAGGTTGTTCCATGTTGTAGCGTACCCAGTACTTTTTAATTTTATGGAAATTTTGGGGCTGATTCTTCAAAACTTACTCATAGATTTCAGCGGGTCTACTTACAAGAGGAATGATTATTTGTATGAGTTAGATTTCCCAGATCAGGTCATTGTATTCTCTATTAACAAAGTATCCAACTGAAAGTGATAATGGGGTCTGATCCAGCTTCCATTAAAGACAATGACAAAACTCCAATTGACTTCAATGTGAGCATGATTGGGCTCCTAGTGTAGAAACATACACAACTTGTTACCATAATTTTTTTCCCCTTTGTGTTCAGAGGATGATTAGACTGCACAGGGAATGTCAAGTCAGGCCCCTTGATCCTGAAAGGTGCCTGGCACCCTCCCCTTCAGTGGAATTATTTAAAGAAGTGCTCCTCATATTGCAGGATCAGCCCCTTTTCTTTGATTTGATACAATCAGTGGAGGCATTAGATTAATCAACTTTAGTCTAATTAAACTCCTTTTTGAACAGGAAGACTTTTTAGTGGCACTAATGCTATTCTGCTATGGTAAAACACAAACACAAAAAAGCAAGCTGTTTCTGAAAGTAGAATCTCTTTCATGTTGTTCATAAAGGGGCCAATCCTGCCCCCACCTCCATGGCTTCAGAGGGTCCCTGGCAGAGGAATTGATTACATTTCATTGATCTGATTTGCCTCACAAAGCGGATCCACAGCCCTCTAAGTCGTAGAATGGCAAAATCCCTCCCTCTCTGTGATTACTCCCATGCAACTGCCTATTCACCAGTTTGGACTGGGTGCTACCATGAATATTTGGCTCCAAGAAAGTTACATTCATTTTATATTGTCTAATGCAACAATTTATTGTCTTTGCTATTGTGGTTATTAATTCTAATCTTCAATTATCTCAAATGTTTCTTGCACTGGTGAATTTTACCATATTTCACAACATTTGATTATGCAAAAGCATATGTGAGGTGTATGATGTTGTTATTCAATCCTTGTATCCTAGTAGCACCCATGATGTGCTGGGCACTGTTCACATAAACAGGAAGTTACAGTCCCCGCCCCAAAGAGTTCACAATGTAAGAATATGCACATTTAGGCTTCAGTTCTGCAACTGATAGCACACAAGCAGAATGCTGCCCCTGCAGTTAGCCTCTTTTACTTCAATGAGCTTTGTGCGAGTGCACCAGCCCCATGATGTGCAATCAATTGTAGGACTGGAATCTTATTCTCTATGCCAATAATATATACCAGTTATTAATAATATTTAGAGATTCAATCCTAAAGGCATGTATAATAAATAATAATAAAATAATAATAATCCTACTTTGCCATAAGTGTGCCTGGGTGATAGAAAGATAAATAAAAGATGATGGCCCAGATTCTTGACTAGTCGTAAATCAAATTGAAGTCAATGATGAACCTAAATCAGTTTATGCCAACTGAGATCTGACCCAATATCTCTGCCCCAAGGAGCTTACAATCAAAGTCCCAGGCTGTGTGTGGGACTTAAAGAGTTTGAAAAACCTGGCACAAGGAGTCTCTACCACACCTTGTGTAGCCCACATAAAAAACAAGCAGATTTGAAGTCCCTTCATTCAGGAGAGTCCAAAGACTGCTGCTCCCTGCTAGGAGCATACCACACTCCAAAGAGAGTGAGGAGGGGGAAAAGAGGCATGGCTCCACCTTCTCATGTACCAGCTAGTGGGACTGCCCAGCACCTCATGAAGTGGGCATGTTCTGCCTCTGTGCACCCAAAATGCCTCCTTGTGCTAACCACATAGCTGTGTGCTTCCACACTCAGGGGTGCTGGAACAATTTGCATAGTGGGGGTTTTGAGAGCCATTGAACCAAACTGTAAGCCCTGTATATAATGGAAAACACTTCAAGCCGGGGCGTGCGGCAGCACCCTCAGCATCCCTAGTTCCAGCACTTATGTCCACACTTCGCAAGACACAGGCATGGGTAAGCCCAATGACAGATGTAACAAGATGCTTTGCATGATAAGGAATGTAGGATCAGATTGTCAGGATTGAGTTTCAAGGTCAGATTCTGCTCTCAGTTAAATGGTTTTTTACTCTGAAGCAAATCAATGGATCAGTGTACATGTAAGTATATTATAAGAGTGTAACTGAGGGCAGAGCCTGGCCTGTAATGATTTAATTATAAGTGCTAAATATCCTGTTGGGCACCTTACAGTTAAATATACATGGGCCAGAATCGCAGTTGTTGAAAATTGGTAATGCTGTGATTTCAATACCACTATGCCAATTTACACCATTTGGGATCTGACCCATATATTTAATTTTAAAGGTTATAACATTGCAATTATTCATCATTATGACCTATGCAAAGAGCCATTCTAGAGTACCTAATTGAGCCTAAAACTCACTCTGCAGGCCTTGTACACGTCAGTGGGCTGGGACTCAACTCAGTTTGATGAGTTTTCTATGGAGTTACACCAGTATCAAGCTGGTGAAACAGAGTAGGGACTCAGGCTCCAAGACTTTGAGGTCAGCTCCTATTCCATGATGGAAGTATAACTTTTGTAGTGCTTACTGAATGCTGCCTGGGGCCTTTCACAGACATCCTGCACCCAGGACCAGTCTGTAACTTTAGGGTAAACAAAGCTCTTGGGAATTATACTGGGTGGGTTTCCACAATGAGTTATTCCCCGGATGAAAGATCAGTCAGTTGAGGAAGTGTTTTAAAGAATCTGTGGCCATGAGTCTTCAGGCTTTTCCTAGCTGATAGTGTTTGTTTTGAAGGTAAGACAGAGAGACGTAGAAATGGGCCAGAAACCCAAAGATTAATCTACCCATACACTCTGCCTCGGTCCCAGCATATTTAGGTGTGGGTATCTCAGTTATAGCAAACTATTTTCTTGGGTGTCTCTCATGTACAGGAAATGTTAGGTCTGCTTACAGTGTCCAGCACAATGAGATCCTCCTATTTTGCAATACATATAATCAATAAACAATAGTAATAGTGATTCAAGGAAGCATCCAAAGCTGTGTCATCCTCCATTTCAGGGTTTTATAGGTGAGTCGGCTGGAGTAAGTCATGAAGCCTGCTGTGCCCAGTGTGGAGAGGTAGAGCTGGGTAAATATTTTATAATTAATAATTTGATTTATTTCACCTCTTTCTGTTCACTTTTGGTTCAATTGTCTGCAAACTGACTGTGACTTTTTAAAAATATATTTATTCATAATTATTTGCTGAATAATTTCTTCACTTAATTCTCTGTCTGTAGCTTTATTAGTGATCTTATTCAAAGTTTAACCTGATTTGATTGGGCACATAGGTAATCGGGTATGTTTCTTTTCTCAGATTGGCTTAACATAACTCTTCAAATCAGGCTCTTGGTGCAAATACTCTCCATGAATATTCTGTAATATTTGCTTAAAATTTGCTGTTCTAATGACCATTCCTGCCAGTAAACTTGTCCATTAGAACATTCACAGCAAGCAAACATAAAAGAGGGGCAAACAATTAAAGTCAGTAGTTTAAAAACGTGAACAAACATTCTCAGAAAA